GCAGAAAGCTGAGGCGAATTTGACTTGCTCGTCAATTTTGGCTAGGGCCTCGTCGTGACGCTCGTGCAAATCTAGGGCGGCCTTCGCTCCTCTGTCGGCGAAGTCGTTGCCCAATCTCACAAAGCGTTCATGGTCGGTGAGGCTGTCGCCAGTTAAAGGTTGATGCGCCTTGACCTTAAAAAGTTCAAAGATAAGCCTGGCTCCTTCATAGCTATGAGCCTGGAGCGTGTGACCAGCATAAACCTTGCGAAAATTGGCATGGTCCGCATGGTTCGCTTTAATCTGAGAAATCACACTCTGGCAATGAGAATAAACCTCCGAGGGGGGCACCATGCAGATCGCGGCCGCGGCAACGGCGGAGAATTCAGCGCATTGGAATCTGCGGGAGCGGCGCATGCACAGGGCCTCTAAATTCGCACTGCAGTTGGTCACCTTAAAACACACAGATGACCCAGGCTGCTCGACTTAAATCCTTAATAACCTGGCAGCTGCATGACCCATCCACAAAAATCTGCCCCTGCATTTGGGCCCTGCCCATGGGGGGGATCAACAGACCAGTCGGCCTCCAGGGATCCAGACACACACGGGGTGGGGGTAGTCTTCTCCTGGATGCGGCAGCCCCCCTCTGGTGACAGCAAATAACAAGTGCTTGTGGTCGACGAAACTGTCGATGTTGTCTAAAATCCCGCGGTCAACCGAGTCCTCTCTAACTTCCTGAACGACGGGGCATTTCCAGATACGGCGAAAGAGGGCGCCACGTTGACCACATCCGAGTGGGCAGAGCTCCGAGTGCAAATAACCCTTGGAGGTCGCGTAGGTCCTGGTCCACAAAGCCCCCGTACAAACAGACCTGAGGGTGCCTTTTTTTCCAGAGGCGTGTATTTCTTTGAGGCGAGGTGCCTGGAGACAACGTCGAAGCAGGCCCTCTGGTGGAAACCGATGTTCGAACCGATGTCCTCCTCGAGCCGTCGAAATACAGCTTCGCGGAGCATGACCTTGAGCATACCAGGCGACTGCAGCGTCAAAGAAACCTCGCGCCCTTGATCATTCACCAAGGTACAAAAATCAGGCATGCCCCAATGGAGCCGTTCAAGGGATTTTCTCACGGCCATCCCTGGGCCTCCGACACTGCGCCAAGTCCGAAGCTTTTTGGAGGAAACAGCTCCCCAGGACTCACGGATGCAACTACAGGACACGGTCGAGGGATGCACGTGGCACGCGGTGTTCCACACCTCCTTGTGCCATCTGAGAATGGGCGCCGCTTGAACAATCCTGGTAGGATCACGCTCCAAAAGAAGAAGGATCGACAAGCTTCTGCCCCCAGCCGAAGGCTTGGGGACCGAGGCAAAGGACCTCTTGAGGCCCAGGAGCTCGGCATCAGAGGCGCCAAAAACTTCAGCCCCGTAAGAGGCCGCAGGGAAGGGGCCCGAGACCCACATGTTTCGGGCCCGTCGTCCAATGTTGCGCGTGAGCTTACCCCAGCGGCGAGCGCGCATCTTAGCCTTCGCTCGTCGCTTCTTGACCTTAGCATCTCGCCCACGGTGCCTTAAAGACGTGCCAGCCGTGTCGTATATGCCTAAGTTCGGAGTGGCAGAAGTGATGGGACCCGCGAGAGAGGGACCAAGTCGCTTTTGCATTTCCTGGCCCAGAGCTTTCTTGGACACAAGGAGCACAGCTTTGTCCTCAGACAACGAGGCACCGATATCTTCGCTGACCACTCGCACAAGTTGCTCGGACCCTTAGACCACCCCTTCCAAAACTTCTTTGAACGCCCCGACGGCGTGGATGCCGTCGTCATCCACGTAGAGGCTGTAATCCACGCACGGGCCCCAGACAATCGAGTCGAGCCCCTCCAACGAGTCAACCCTGATGAAGGTCGTGGCACAGGGGCAGCCGGCCACGAGGCCCTCGATGGCCCACATCGCGATGGTGGTCGCGCCGTGGAGACTGAGGCGCCGAGGGCCGCGATAACCCTGGCACGCTAGGCGAGCCACACCGAGGGAAAAACCGAGCCTGTGGCATCGCGCAAGCACCTGGTCGATGGACAAAGTTTCGTCGTACTTGTAGAAATCCCGCAGGAGCGGTACCGCACACTGTCCTCTGGCAATCCCAGCTTCGCTCAACAGGGATTGCCTCCAGACCGTGTCCGCAGCGCCCATGCACTTCCCAGCCGCGAACCAGAGGCGTTGGTGACTATTTCCCCTAGCCACCGCAACGGGCCTTCTCAGCCGCCCCCAAAGGCGGAAGGGGCCGCAAAAGATCCCGATGGGGCGGAAGCCTCCAACGGGCTCGGGGAGGAGCATCATCACGATGAGATGCACCTGTTCGGGGATGAGGGATGAGATTTCCATGATCCTGAAAATGTCCAGCAGGGTCCGAAGGGAATCGTCCAGGAGCCAAGAAAAATGCCCCATGTGGAATCCGTCCGTGCTGACCGCGGCCCTGGTTTTGCAGCGCCGACTGGCAGCGCGGACCTCGTCGAGGTCAGGGAAATCCAGGGGCCCAAGAGGAGCGAAATCAGGAGGGGGCGGGGGCGGCACGATCGAGGCTTGCCACAAGCCTTGAGACCTGATCGCCTCCGAGGCGAGCACAGAGAGAGGGTCGCTGACAACCGAAAAATCGTCGGCCAGCACGGCCGTGGCCGTCCAGGTTTTGGGAGTGTCCGTGACCTGATGAAACCTGCGTGCACCTTGTTCGATCCCCACCTTCAGCCAATCGTCTGACCCGCTCGAACGACAGCGTCCGACACTCGGCCGAGAAGCTCCGTAGCTGCCAGTTCTGACTGCGCACTAAGGTCGGCCCCAGCAGCCAAGTCCATGGCCTCAGTGATAAGAGGGGCTGAGTCGCCCTGGGCTTTGACAACTTGGCAGGGCACTGCGAGCAAAGCCGAGCGCGCCGCCTCGGAGCAAGCGGTCGCGTCCTTGACATATTTCGAACAATATCCTGACAAATGGTGGGGAGGAGGATCAGAGGCCTGCATCGAATGCAGGAAGACAGAGGCGCTGGTGAAGCCAGCGCACAGCAAAAAGGTCGGGGTGCCTCGGGTCCCTCACGTCAGTTTCGATCAGTTTTTCCAGACGATCCTGGGCTTGGCCCCTCGGAGGCCCAACCGAAAGACCTGGTTAGTGAGTCGGCAAAGCTCGATCTCAGCCTGGTCGGCCCATTGCTGGTAGGCCCTGTTGAGCCCGTCCTGCGTAGCCTGACCTTTCCCTGACTGGGCCGTCCGCAGCACCCCTTCCAGCTCAGCACGAATGCGATCACAGGCAGACGGAGCACACGGCGGGCCCACGCAACGATCAAGGCTGATCCGCGCGAGCTTCTGGAAAGCCATGACACGGAGGCGAGCGACACAAGGGAGAAATGATCAGAGGAGGAGTGTGAGGAGCGAGGTCCGACACCCCATCCAGATCGATGGACCGCGCAGCTTTGCTAAGGCCGTGACTGAGGATAAAATAACCGCTAGTTATCATACCCCCAGTCGTCGAGCAAAAAGAACGGAGGGAGCGATCAACGAACCTCGAGCTACTTCAAGAAAGTCAGAAATAGAGAAAACTGAGGGCTCAAGGTTGAAACCCCCGCCGGCAAGGCAAGGCAATCCAGAAGCCCCCACGTACTCACCGACGCTGCGCAGCACGGAAATGTTGGGCTCAGCGAGGCCCACGCCGTGCAAGAGGTAAGTGGAGACGACCGCGATGTGACACCCTCCAGGAACCTGAATGATGCCCCCATATGGCTCTGCCGTCAAGAAGCGCGTGGTTGCTGCCCATAGCATGAAGACCCAGAAAGTCTCTGACCAGAATGCTGACCCCATCCACGGGCGCCTCCGATGTCCCCTGGGAGAGCTGCCCTCCAGAGAGGCTCCCACACGTGGCGAATGGCCCAAGCCGAGGCCTGCAAGATGTCCTCCTGGGTCCTCAACTGATGCTCCTGAAGACAGACGACATTGGCGGACGTAGGGGTGAGCCACGTACGGCCTGATCCCCAGCCCGAGACATTGGCAGAGGCAAACACTAGAGAAAAATCGGAGTCCTCGGAGACTCCTAAAAAGGTAGACTGGGCTAAGCTTATACCACGAGCGCGCAGGGCTTCTTGGGCATTTGTACAGGGCTCCGCCAAAATCTTTTGAGCTCTGTCGGGGGTCCTGGCCAACGCTCCCCAGAATCCTTTAGAAAAAACGTCCCTGAGCCCTCTGGTGCGCCTTGGGGTTGCTAAAGATGTGGCCCATATTCTGGGACGGCTCTGGCGATTGCCGCTGCCCTCGCCTTGAGGTCAAGTCCGCTACTCCCTTGGGCCGCGCCCACGGGTGCTCCATGCTGCGGAGCTGGTGACCTCTCCTTGGGTTCCCCTGGGGCTCCAGAGGCTGCAGGGCCTGCGGGCTCTGGAGGTGGACCTCCTCGGAGCTCGGCGGGAGCCGCGGTGCCCCCTGCGCCCGCCGAGGCTCCTGTCTCAGTGCGACGCTTCTTGACGGCGAGACGAGTGAGCAACTCCTTGTGTTCGGATTTGATGGCATCAGCCTTTTCGATGGCGGCGGAAAAAGAGCTCGGGTCTGCTCACGCAAACCTTGCTTGAGGGACTTGACGAGCTCCTCGGCCTGCCGCTTGTCTTCCTCGGAGATTCCTTCGAGGTCCGTGCCCTCCAGCTGGAGCACGTCACCCAACTCGATGGGCAGGTCCTCCAGCGAGCCGTCGAGGATGCTACGGACCGTGAGCACCTGCTGCACCTGCTCCGTGTTGGTCTTGGGCGCGTAGGCTGAGTGCAGCTGACGAACGAGAGCACCATGGCGTTCTTCAATAGGGGAAGGACGAGGAGGAGGAGGTGGAGGAGGAGGAGGCAACAGCTTGCCAAAAAACTAAAACCAGATAAATCAGGAGGACGAGGGAGAGGAGGAGGAAGAAGAGGAGGGGGAAGAGGAGGAGGAGGAAGAGGAGGAGGAGGGGGAGAAGGAGGAGGAGGAGGAGGAGGAGGAGGAGGAGGAGGAGGAGGGAAAGCCGAGCGCCAGGCCACCAGCCCGCGACGTGGCTCACCAGGCGGCACTTCGCGCACAGCCATCCAGGCTCGTGGGAGTAGGCCAGCTCAAAGACCTCGCCGCGTCACCGCCTCGGCTTCCCTCCTCCTCCTCCCCCCCCCCCCTCCCTCCCCTCTTTCTTCTCTTCCGTCTCATCATCCACATCCTCGCATCCCCTCTCCTCCTCCTCTCCTCCCTCCTCCTCCTCCTCCGATCCTCATCATCAGCAGCAGCATCAGCAGCAGCAGCATCGGCATCAGCAGACGACCCCCCCCCTTCTCTGCCAGGCACTCATTATCATCATCCCTCTGCACGAGCACCACCACAACCATCCACAACAACAAGATCATAATCACCAATACACCCCATTATGTCCATCATCCTCGTCATCCTCATCATCGAGCATCAGCATAGACACCGTCCAGGCAAGGGATACCCTGTGTCTTCCCCGGGGCCTCGCTTTGTTTTCATGTAGAGAATGACCCCTCCAGAAGAAAAACATTCAGTGGGGGCCCGACCACAAGATACCTGTCATAAGAAACCCAACCCTGAGACCACCACCGCTACCACGTTCATCATCATCATCATCATCATCATCATCATCATCATCATCATCACCATCATCATCATCATCATCATCATCATCATCATCATCATCATCATCATCATGATCATCATCATCATCATCATCATCATCATCATCAGCATCAGCATCAGCATCAGCATCAGCATCAGCATCAGCATCAGCATCAGCATCAGCATCACCACCACCACCACCACCACCACCATCATCATCATCATCCTCATCATCATCATCAATATCATCATCATCATCATCGTCATCATCATCATCAGCATCATCAGCATCATCATCATCGCCATCATCATCATGAGCAGAATCATCAGCCTCATCATCAGTATCAGCAGCAACAGCACCATCATCATTACAGTCACAACCATCATCATCACGACGATCATCAGCGTCATCATCAGCAGCATCATCATCAGAATCATCATCATCGTCATCATCAGCAGCAGCAGCATCATCATAATCCGCGTCATCATCAGCATCATCATCAGCATCATCATCACCATCGTCAGCAGCATCATTCTCAATATCCCCAGCATCATCGGCAACAGCATCTGCAGCGTCATCATCAGCAGCAGCATCATGATCATCATGTTCATCAGCATCAGCATCATTATCAGAAACATCACCACCACCATCATCGTCAGAAGCGTCATCGTAATCGTCATCGTCGATAGTACCATCATCATGATCACCATCAACAACAACATGATCAGCATCATCAGCAGCATCATCAGAATCGCCATCCTCAGCGACAGCATCAGCACGACCCCCCCCCCCCACCACCAGCATCATCATCACCTCAGCATCAGCATCAGCATCCAAATCAAGAGGAACATCATAGTCAACATCGTCAGCACAAGCATCAGCATCCTCATGAGCAGCATCAATAATGCTCATCACCATTATCATCCACCGATGCATTATCATTCGCATACGAATCGTAATCCTTATCACAACCATCATCAGTTTCAGCATCAGCAGCATCATCAGCATCACCATGATCATCATCAGCACCATCAGAATTATCAACCTCACCATCAGAATCGGTAGCATCATCAACAGCAGCATCATCAGCAGCATCAGCATCATCATCAGAATCGGCCTAATCATCAACCACAGCATGATCACCATTGTCACTAGCAGCAACATCTACCATCATCAAAATCAGCATCATCATCAGCAGCAGCATCATCATCACCACTATCATCATCATCATCATCATCATCATCATCATCATCATCATCATCGTCATCATGATCCGAAATTGAATCATCATCATCATCATCATCATCATCATCACCATCATCACCATCATCATCGTCATCATCCTCCCCTCATCGTCCTCTCCCCCCTCATACTCGTTAAAATCCTCATAGTCCCCCTCCTCCTCATCATCATCATCATCCTCATCCTCACCCTCATTCTCATCTTTATCATCATCATCATCATCATCATCATCATCATCATCATCATCATCATCATCATCAACATCAACAGCATCATCATCCTAATCCGCAACATCACCACCACCAGCATCCTCATCCTTATCAGCAAAAGCAGCATCAGCACCAGCAGTAGCATCATCATCGTCATCAGCGTTATCAGACTCCTCAGTATCAGCATCATCATCATCATCATCAGCAGCAGCAGCAGCAGCATCAGAATCATCATCACCATGATCATAAACATCACCATCATCAGCATCACCACCACCACGATCAGCAGCATCATCATCATCATCATCATCATCATCATCAGCATCATCCGCATCATCATCAGTACCAAGCTCATCCTCATCTTCATCATCATCCTCATTATCGTCCTCATCCACATCCTCATCCTCATCCTCCTCACCATCGTCAAACATCATCATCATCACCATCATCATCATCACCATCATCATCACCATCATCCCCCTCCTTCCCCTCCGTAGAGCGGTACCGAAAGCGGGGAACCGCGCGACCCGCGGGGCCCCGCAGAGCAGGAAGATGTGGCCGTCTGGGGTGTGCCGGATGCGACGGAAACCGCCGGCCCCTACAGGGGGGCACCCTGCGCACCAGATTTCTCCGTCCACCTGGCTGCTCACCTCCTACCAGCCCTTCTCCTCCTCCTCCTCCTCCTCCTCCTCCTCCCCCTCCTCCTCCTCCTCGTCCTCCTCCTCCTCCTCCTCCTCCTCCTCATCCTCCTCCTCCTCCTCCTCCTTCTGCCCAGTCATGAAACTTGGGTGGCCACGAAGCCTGCAGGGTCGGGGGGTGCTAAAAGTACCCCTGGCCCAAGATGTCTAGGCTCCATCTTGGATCCCTTGGGCCTCCTGGGCCTCGTAAGGAGTGCTCTGGAGGCCACGGGGGCTCCCTTAGAAATCCTAGGGAGCCCTGGGCCAGAGAGACCTCTGTCGGCGGCGCGCCCAGGGGGAAGGCTGAAGGGGCGCATCTTCTCAGAAGGCTCTGAAGGCCTCTCGCCTTCTTTTCCTTCTCCGGAGTCACAGCGGGCGCCCTGCCGCCCAGAGAAGGCCCGCCCCCCTCTCACTCCTGGGGGTACAAGAGTGCACCGGCACCACTACCGCCCAAAACTCTCCCAGGGTGCATTCTCACCTGAATTTCGTGGACAACACAGCCATGGCGACGAGAGCTCTCCAGGCCGAGCAGCAACACGACTACCTCTTTCTCCGCCAAACTTCCCCCTGGCGCGCCGCCGACCGTAGCAACACCCGACGGGGAGGCGGCGGCCGGCAGAATTCGCGGCGAGGGAGACAATTCTGGTCTCCGGTGGCCGTTCTGGGAGGCCTAGAGGTGGACACCAACACCAATATCGGCTGTGCGCCTCCACCGAGGGAAGGTGCTCCCGATCTCGGTGATGGTGGTACTATTTTGGCTTCCTAGGTGGCCGAAGTGTTACCACCAACACCGAACTCTAGGATCATCTTCCCCCGGTTGAGGCATGCCCGCGTGGTGGTGTCGGTGCCCATTCCCAGGCCTCCGACGTTCGGGACGATGCGGGCACCCCCGAAGGCCCGTCGGCGAGGCGCAGCTGCTGGCGAGCACCCAGAGGCTGGAAGGCCGCGGGGGAACCGACGAAGACGCCCGAAAACCTGTTGCCCCAAACCCCCGCGATCAGCAAAAAGACTATCCTTGGACATCCCCTGGGGTGCGTCCTGACCAGAATTTCGAGGCGGATCCGGCCGTGGCCACGAGGGCGCCCCAGGGCGATCACAAACCCCCAGAAAGCGAATCTGGAACCTTGAACTAGGTCGGGCCTGTCCCCCTACAGGTGGATTTTGGACTAACAATCTAAAAATACCCTACAAATACTCAAAACAATATTCAAACATTGACTATTTTAGGATATTTCTCCTGTAGAGGGGCATGTCCGACTTAAACCTTGAACCTCTGAGCCCACCCGCCCCCTGAAGAACGTTCCCCCTGGCGGAAATCCGCGGCGGGAACCTATCAGAAAAAACGCCCGAAGCTTGACGAGCCGACGCTGGAAGCTCGAAGACTGGCAGGAATCCGAGACTGGCAGGCCGCCGAGAAACGACGGAAACTCGCCCCGACCCCGACTCTCCCCCCCAAACCCGACCCGACCTCGCCCCGACCCGACCTCGCCCCGAGCCGACTTCGCCCCGAGCCGACCTCGCCCCGAGCCGACCAACCCGACTCCTCCCCTGAACCTCGACCTCGCCCCGACCCGACTCGCCCGCCGAGAAAACCTCCAACCTCGACCCCCCCCTGAACCTCGAACCTCGAGCCTCGAGCCTCGAGCCTCGAACTTGGAACTCCGGCTGGCGGAATCCGCGGCGAGAGAGCCCGCCGCACAGAGCGCCGTCAGCGGGCGCCGAGTAGCCGTCGAGGGGCACGAGCGCGCCCACGGCGGGGCGCCCGCCGGCGCCTGGGCCGGCGAGGCCAGCGAGGCTGACGGTTAGCCTGCGGCGGCGGCAGGGGGGGGGGGGGGGGGCAGCGCCTCCTCCTGCTGCTGCTGCTGCTGCTGCTGCCTGTCCTCCTCCTCCTCCTCCTCCTCCTCCTCGTCCTCCTCCTCCTCCTCCTCCGCCTCCTCCTCCTCCTCCTCCTGTTGCTGACTCCTCCTCGTCCTCCTCCTCCTCCTCCTCCGTCCTCCTCCTCCTCCTCCTCCGCCTGTTGCTGACCCACTGCCCCACTGACCCACTGATGGCAAGAATGCCGCGTTGGTGTAGCTGCTACTTCTCCTACTGCTGCTTTTCCTCGTTGTGTTCCTCCTCCTCCGCCTCCTCCTCGTCCTCGTGGGGGAGGTAGGAACGGGACGACGACGACCACCACCACCACGGCGACGACGACGACGACGACGGCGACGACGATAACGGCGAGGTCGAGAAAAGAGACAGGGGTGAGGACTATCGAAAAAAAAGGACGGGACGGAAAACGGAGGGCAGGGGAAGGAACCCGAATGGGGACGGGAGTCGGAGGTGAGAGAAGCGCGGCGGGGAAGGGATGGATGAAGCGGGACGGGGGAGCAGAAACATAAGCAAACGAGCGCGAGGCAAGGAGGAAACAACACACACACACACACACACACACACACACACACACGCGCACGCACGCACGCACGCACGCACGAATGCACACACACACACACGCACACGCACACACACACACACACACACACACAAACAGACACACACACACACACACACACGCACACGCACACGCACACGCACACGCACACAAACACAAACACCAACACACACACACACACGCACGCACGCACGCACGCACGCACGCAACCACGCACACAAGCACGCACGAACGCACGCACGCACACGCATTCACACGCACACACACACACATTCATACACACAACAACAACAACAACAACAACAACAACAACAACAACAACAACAACAACAACAACAACAACACAACAAAACAACAACAACAACAGCAGCAACAACAGCAGCAATAACAGTCACAAATATGACAACAGCAACAACAACAGGAACCACAGTAACAACAGTAACGAGAACAGCAACAACAACAACAACAACAACAACAGCAGCAACAACAACAACAACAACAACAACAACAACAACAACAACAACAACAACAACAGCAACAACCATGTTCAGGCTGTTCGCTTTTATTGGCACGCGTGCATTGCCTTCTGTATACCCCAACCCTCGATACCCGCCCACTTCGTTTTCGACTGCACCCCTCTTTCGGCGGGGACATCTTCCTTGTCGGCCACTGACTGAAGTGTGAAGGACCCTCGAGAAAAGAGCTCAACTCCTGAGTTCGGGGGCCTCTGTGGCCAGGGGATTTTTCGGAATACATATGGAGAAATATCGAACGGGAACCCTTGTCGTCGTGTCTGGACCTCCACCAACTTTCCTGAATTACAAAAGGATCTCGAGCGAGAGCGCCACTCTTGAGTTCGGAGGCATCTCTGGCAAGGGCCTCTGCGAATGCATCTTGAAGTACCGAATGAGAGCCCTTGTCGTCGTAGTTGGTCCTCCACCAATTTGACTGAATCACGAGCAAGTCTCGAGCGGGAGCGCCGTGCCTGAGTTCGGGAGCTTTCCTGGCCAGGGGCGCTCGGAGTAAATCGTGAGAACTATCGAGCAGGAGCCCTTGTCGTGGTGGCTGGGCCTCCGCCAACGCGACTGAACTGCGAGGAAGTCACGGGCGAGAGCGCCGTCCCTGAGTTCGGGGGCCTCTCTGGCCAGGGTGTCTCGGGGTAAATTGTGAGGAACTATCGAGCGGGAGCCGTTGTCGTCGCAGCGGGCCCTCCAAGGGCCCACTTTTACACTCAAGCCAACGCTCGCGCGGGAACCTTGTTTTCAAAAAAATTGCCGGCGTCGAAGCGAAAGCACGCGGAACCGTTTCCGGAGATCAACAATAATTACTGTATTCTCTAGAAGTGAGTATTCAACAGCAACAACAGCAACAACAAAAACAACCATTTTAAGACTGTTCGCCCATGTCTGCTCGCATGTCCAAATAACGCCTATTTCCCAAACCCTCGATACCCGCCCTTTTCGTCTTCGATCGAACCCCTTTTGGGGGGATACCTTTCTTCCCTGCAGGCCGGGCCCCGGCAAGCGGCGGGGCGGCCGCGGACCGTCGGCCTGGCCAGCGGCAGCGCTGATCGGCGGGGCGGCCGCGGACCGTCGACCCGACCCCAAAAGGGACGGACAGGGGACCGACCACGACGACGACGACGACGACGACGACGACGACGACGACGACGACGACGACGACGACGACGACGACGACGTCGACGATGACGGCGACGAGCGAAAGCGAGAGCGAAAGAGAACGACAGCAGGGCCACAAAGGACACGAAGTAGGCCACGAAGGGCAACAGCGGGGACACGAAGGGAAAGCGTATGGGGCCACGAAGAGCGCGAACCAGCGGGGGCCACGAGGGGCAGATAATGCGGGGCCACAGAAGGCAACGATGGGGCCACTGAGGGTAGCAACTGGGCCACGTAGGACATATGCATATGGGGCCACCACGGGCGCGAACGAGCGGAGGCCACGAATGGCATTCATATATGGGGCCACGAAGGGCAGCGAGGGGGCCACGAAGGGATGCAACGGGGCCACGAAGGGCAGCGAGGGGGCCACGAAGGGCTGCAACGGGGCCACGAAGGGCTGCGACGGGGCCACGAGGGGCAGCGAGGGGGCCGCGAAGGGCTGCAACGGGGCCACGAAACAAAGCGAGGGGGCCACGAAGGACTGCAACGGGGCCACGAAGGGCAGCGAGGAGGCCACGAGGGGCTGCAACGGGGCCACGAAGGGCAGCGAGGGGGCCACGAAGGGCTGCAACGGGGCCACGAAACAAAGCGAGGGGGCCACGAAGGGCTGCAACGGGGCCACGAAGGGCAGCGAGATCCCGATTCCTGTGTAATTTTTGTTGAGGGGGTCCTAAGCGTGAGCGCGAGTCCTGGGTGCCTGGGTGTCGGGAGCGCGGCGCTAGAATAATTGCGGGAAACTCCAACGCAAGGGCGCTATTCTTCAGTAAATTGCAAGCAAGTCTCCAGCGAGAGCGCGACTCCAGAGCGCCGGGAAAAATAAACTCTAAAGAAATCCCAAGCGAGAGCACGATTTCTGAATAAAACGCGGGGAAGTCTCGGGCGGGAGCGGGGGTCCTGGCTAAATTGTGGGGAAGTCTCAGGCGGGAGCCGTTGTTGTTGTAAACCGGGGGCCAACGACACAGTTTGACCCTCAAGACTTTCCCTGATGAAAAACCGGGTGCGACCCTCGGGAAGGGCACTTCAATCGAACAAAAAATGTGCACTGGACGGGGGGGATCAACAATAACTATTCTTCAGAAATGAGTTCAACAACAACAACAACAGCAACAACAACAACAACAACAACAAGGAAAAGGCGCGCGTGAGAGCCCCGTGAGCTCTAGCCGTCCGGACCCGCCCTCGACTTATTGCGAAGGCTGCGCTCAGAGCCCCGTGGACGCATTCTGACCCCCCCAGCAACAGCAACAGCAACCAGCAACCAACAAAAAGAACAAAAAAAATCCTGGAATTCCCTTGGACTCTCTTTCAGACCTTGACGTGGTCCTATGGGTGACAAACGTATGCGCGCCGGCGTGCCGCCGTTTCAATACAGATCCGATACAGACTGTATGGGATCCTGTAGAGATACGATACAGACTGTATGGGATCCTGTAGAGTTCCGACACAGACTGTATAGGATCCTATACAGATCGGATACAGACTGTATGGGATCCTGTAGAGATCCGATACAGACTGTATGGGATCCTATACATATCCGATACAGACTGTATGGGATCATATACAGATCCGACTAGAACCACGCGCGCGCTTCGCGCGCGCTTAGGTTCTGTCGAGTCACAGACCCAGGAATCGTTGCGAGAAGAAATTGGTGACGCGAAGCGTCTTGGGGGTGTCCTTGGACGTCTGGGGTCTCCTGGGGCCTCTTGAGGGGCCTCCTGGGGGCCTCCTGGCGGCCTCTTGGGGCGGAAGGCTCGAGCTTGCGGTTCGTGGTCCCCCTCTGGGCCCCCTCTTGGGCCCGTCTTGGGGCCCTCTTGGGCCATCTTGGGCGCCTCTTGGGCCGTCTTGGGGCCCTCTTGGGCTGTCCTGGGGCCCTCTTGGAAGCTTCTTGGGCCGTCTTGGGGCGGTCTTGGGCGCCTCTTGGGCCGTCCTGTAACGTCGGAAAGCCCAAAAGGCGACTTTGTTGAAAATGTACGTTTTACGAAGGGAATGGGCCAATTTTGCGTCTAGGGGCCCTCTTGGGACGCATGTTGGAGGCTTCTTGGGGCGTCTTGGGGGCGTCCTTGGACGTCTGGGGTCTCCTGGGGCCTCTTGAGGGGCCTCCTGGGGGCCTCCTGGCGGCCTCTTGGGGCGGAAGGCTCGAGCTTGCGGTTCGTGGTCCCCCTCTGGGCCCCCTCTTGGGCCCGTCTTGGGGCCCTCTTGGGCCATCTTGGGCGCCTCTTGGGCCGTCTTGGGGCCCTCTTGGGCTGTCCTGGGGCCCTCTTGGAAGCTTCTTGGGCCGTCTTGGGGCGGTCTTGGGCGCCTCTTGGGCCGTCCTGTAACGTCGGAAAGCCCAAAAGGCGACTTTGTTAAAAATGTACGTTTTACGAAGGGAATGGGCCAATTTTGCGTCTAGGGGCCCTCTTGGGACGCATGTTGGAGGCTTCTTGGGGCCTCTTGGGGGCGTCCTTGGACGTCTGGGGTCTCCTGGGGCCTCTTGAGGGGCCTCCTGGGGGCCTCCTGGCGGCCTCTTGGGGCGGAAGGCTCGAGCTTGCGGTTCGTGGTCCCCCTCTGGGCCCCCTCTTGGGCCCGTCTTGGGGCCCTCTTGGGCCATCTTGGGCGCCTCTTGGGCCGTCTTGGGGCCCTCTTGGGCTGTCCTGGGGCCCTCTGGAAGCTTCTTGGGCCGTCTTGGGGCGGTCTTGGGCGCCTCTTGGGCCGTCCTGTAACGTCGGAAAGCCCAAAAGGCGACTTTGTTAAAAATGTACGTTTTACGAAGGGAATGGGCCAATTCTTGCGTCTAGGGGCCCTCTTGGGACGCATGTTGGAGGCTTCTTGGGGCCTCTTGGGGGCGTCCTTGGACGTCTGGGGTCTCCTGGGGCCTCTTGAGGGGCCTCCTGGGGGCCTCCTGGCGGCCTCTTGGGGCGGAAGGCTCGAGCTTGCGGTTCGTGGTCCCCCTCTGGGCCCCCTCTTGGGCCCGTCTTGGGGCCCTCTTGGGCCATCTTGGGCGCCTCTTGGGCCGTCTTGGGGCCCTCTTGGGCTGTCCTGGGGCCCTCTGGGAAGCTTCTTGGGCCGTCTTGGGGCGGTCTTGGGCGCCTCTTGGGCCGTCCTGTAACGTCGGAAAGCCCAAAAGGCGACTTTGTTGAAAATGTACGTTTTACGAAGGGAATGGGCCAATTTTTGCGTCTAGGGGCCCTCTTGGGACGCATGTTGGAGGCTTCTTGGGGCCTCTTGGGGGCGTCCTTGGACGTCTGGAGGCCATCTTCAGCATCTCGGAGCCCTCTTGGAGGCCTCTTGGAAGTTTCTTGGGCCGTCTTGGGCGCTTCTTGGGCCGTCTTGTCTGACTGGGGAGGCCTCCGGCAAGCCCCGACGAGCCGTCCGGGCCCCCCGGGGCGCCCATTTGTGGTCGAGGTCCCGGCCCCGGGCCCCCGGACCCGGTGCGCCGTTATATGAATATATACAGACTGTATGGGATCCTGTAGAGATCCGATACAGACTGTATGGGATCCTGTAGAGATCCAATACAGACTGTATAGGATCCTATACATATCCGATACAGACTGTATGGGATCCTCTAGAGATCCGATACAGACTGTATGGGATCCTGTACCGATCCGGTACAGACTGTATGGGATCCTGTACATATCCGATACAGACTGTATGGGATCATGTAGAGATCCGATACAGACTGTATGGGATCCTATACAGATCCGATACAGACTGTATGGGATCCAGTAGAGATCCCATAAAGACTGTATAGGATCATACACAGATCCGATACAAACTGTATGGGATCCTGTAGAGATCCGACACAGACTTTATAGGATCCTATACATATCCGATACACACTGTATGGGATCATGTAGAGATCCGATAAAGACTGTATAGGATCCTATACACATCCGATACAGACTGTATGGGATCCTATACAGACCCGATACAGACTGTATGGGATCCTATACAGATCCGATACAGACTGTATAGGATCCTATACAGATCCGATACAGACTGTATGGGATCCTGTAGAGATCCGATACAGACTGTATGGGATCCTACACATATTCGATACAGACTGTATGGGATCATATACAGATCCGATACACACTGTATAGGATCCTATACAGATCCGACACAGACTGTATAGGATCCTATACAGATCCGATACAGACTGTATGGGATCCTGTAGAAATCCGATACTGACTGTATGGGATTCTGTAGAGACCCGATACAGACTGTATGGGATCCTGTAGAGATCCGTTACAGACTGTATGAGATCCTGTAGAGATCCGATACAGACTGCATGGGATCCCGTAGAGATCCGATACAGACTGTATGGGATCCTACACAGGTCCGATACATATTGTATAGGATCCTATACAAGTCCGATACAGACTGTATGGGATCCTGTACAGATCCGGTACAGACTGTATGGGATCCTGTACATTTCCGATACAGACTGTATGGGATTCTGCAGAGATCCAATACAGACTTTATAGGATCCTATACAGATCCGATACAGACTGTATGGGATCCTGTAGAGATCCGATACAGACAGTATCGGATCCTATACAAATCCGATACACACTGTATGGGATCCTACAAAAGTCCGATATAGACTGGATAGGATCGCATGCATATCCGATACAGACTGTATAGGATCCTATACATATCCGATACAGACTGTATAGGATCCTATACAGATCCGACACACACTGTATCGGATCCTACACAGATCCAATACGGACTGTATAGGATCCTACACAGATCCGATACAGACTGACTATGATCCTATACAGATCCGCTACATACTGTATGGGATCCTATAGAGATCCGAAACAGACTCGATGGGAACCTGTAGAGATCCGACACAGACTCTATAGGATCCTACAC